AACTATAATTTTCTCAGTGCCTTGCTTTCTCTCTGGAATTCGAAACTGAGAATTTGTTTGTTCATACATAGTATCCCCTAGACTCTCGCATGCCAGAATTGCTTTTTTTGGGACATGTTGTAGGAACCACAGCTTTCCGAGTCGTCATGGGGGTACCAAGCATCCAGTCGTCATGGATGGCCATGGGCCATATTACTGTACTGTAACAGACGACTGGGGATCCCCTGTGGTTTTTCATTGCCAGGAGAATGGGGCGAGGAAAGCACCAGGTGCGGCCATGATTCATCGGCAGTTGAATCAGATTGTTTACTTAAAAAACTCTGTTGGTCCCAGAACTCCTAGAACTCATGGAAACATGTGCTGTTGTTTTCTTTGGAATAGTTTGCTTCTGCTGCTGCTGATGGTGATGATGATGACGCTTACCATTTCCCTTGAATCACCACCAAAAGATCCCTTCTTGGTGGTTTCAAGATTCTATGCTCTTTACCAATGTCCCATTACAGAAAATCCGATGAAATCCCGTGAAATCCCCATTTCTTGTTGATGATTCAACACCATATTTTTTCATGGGTCGGTAAATATAGGTTTTTATAATGGTAAACATCATCATTAAAATCACCCATAGTTGCAATAGCTATATATATATAGCCTAATGTAAAAAAACAGAGGATATCTTGATTGGGATCATAATTTTTCATGGCCAATGAAATGATTTCCTTTTTCGCCAGGGCAGAGTCTCTCTCGCCGAGTCCCAGACACAGGCGATGCTGTTCGGGGCGTCAAGATGCTTCAACTGAAATATGATGCTCTTGATATAGTAATATGATGTACCCTCTGGTTATGACTAACATAGCCATGGTATAGATGGCCCATAGAAATAGAATGAAATAGATGGTTTACCGTTCGCTATAAAATGGGTGGATTTTCCATGGCTATCTTGAATAACCAGAGGGTAATATGTATCAACCATGTCACTGCGATGTCGAATTATTCATAGATGCCCCGCCTAAGAACTATGTGTGTGGCCGAAAAAGCCGGAGGGTGAGCTTGACGCAAAGCCATGGGATTTTGCCCAGGGCCCATTTATTGGAATCATGGGATAAGAATGGGTTAATAATGGCAATGGATGAATAATGGTGAATGATGGATTAGTACTGCATTAATAATGGGTTAATAATGGAGTATAGTTTATTGATCGTTTATTAGATTCTGTAAGTGGGCACACTGCGAAACCACATTTTTCCTGCTGAGGCAGATTTATGATTGATAATGATTATTACCGGAATAGAATGGAAGCGTTCTGCGACCTCTATCTTCGGCTAGCTGCTCTAGCTGTTGGACCTCCATAGGGCATCGCAAAAATCTACAAGATGAGGCCCGTTGTGTCAATTGTGTGCATATCGGATAATATTGGTTTACAGACACATGAAAACTAGATGCATATAATATCTACCATAAACATCCATACCGTAGAATTCACCAACCGTGAACTTTAGACCAACTTGGCGATTTCGTAAACAAAAGCCTCGCCTTAACATGGTGCTCCTCCTCATTTTACCTCTGCCATTTTGGAGGCTCTTTTTTTTGGGACAAACCCACACATGCGGATGATGCTGCTGATGATGCTGATGCTGATGCTGATGCTGATGATGATGATGATGATGATGATGATGATGATGTTGATGTTCCAAAGGACTTGGTAGATCAAGCATTTGTCATCACGGCTAAGTTTGAAGCTTTCTATCCTAGGTCCTAGCTGTCCCAACGAGACTTTGCGGCTCCTGAGATACATGACAAGTTGAAAGTTGAAACCGACGCAATTGATCACAACTGCGCTTTGGTTCCCGGATTCATGGTGGAATGTGGAAGAACTGTCTGCAAATGGGGTGTATGCTTCCCAAATGGCAACTTGAATTGGAAAATGATGGATTAATCATTGACTCATGAATACTAGGGGTACCATATTTTCAAATATTTTCAAATACTAGGGGCAACCATCATTTAAATTGGAAAATGACTTATCATCAAATTTAGGGGTACCATATTTTCAATAAACGGCGAGATGGATGGCCCCGGTGGACGAGAAACAAAGACTAGATGGGTATGGATCAACACCTATTATCACCTATTACACCAACTTTTTTGGGGAAAGGAAGATCCCTTAGCCAGCTATTTTGGTCTTTACCTTCAGGGTTTTGATGGGTTTCATCTTTATCTGGGTCTGGGTCAGAATTGTTGGAGCCTAAAAATGATCATATATTTGGGTCCATAAGTATCCTGGCAAATGCCGAATAAATTGACCCATAGCGATATCAGATTCTCTTGGAAACGGACCATTCAGCTACACCAACCATTCGGAGTTGGACGAGTTGGATTGGTGTGGACGGACGATGGACGATGGACGATGGAGTACAGCAACTGCTCGCCAACACAACAGTGCCTGGGTTGCAAAGTGCTGGGCGCATTCTGATGTGAGGTTGCTACGGGCGCTACGGGGATG